GAGGGGGTTGGCTCTCGCTGCGGAGAGGAGGGGCAGGTCCAACGGGAGTACCCCTATATGAATTGCCCCCACACTCAGGCCTTGACCGGAGGCTCCACGCAGGAGGGAAGAGGGACAGCTCGGATCACGAAGCAGGTGCGGATCGATGGCCAGCCGGTGGAGGCCCTAATAGACTCCGGGTGCAGCCAAACCATCATCCGGGAAGACTTGATAGGGACCCAGGGACCCCGCGGACCCCCGGTGATCGTCCAATGCGTTCACGGCGATGTGCACCCATATGCAATAGTGTGGGCACAGATAGTGGATGGGGCCCATGAGAGTTGGGTCTTTGTGGTGGTAGCCCCGAAGCTGGTTTATCCCGCCCTCCTGGGGCGCGACTGGGAAGGGTTCGGTCGCGTGGTGGCCGAGTGGAGACGGCAGCCCCGGGCAAGGAGCACCGAAGGCCTGTTGGGGGAGGACGGAGACCACCCCGCCGACGCCGGGAGCGGAGAAAGGGGGGCTGAGAACCCCCGGGAAGGGGAGGACCCGCCGCGAGACGCCCGCCGATGCCGAGGATGGAGAAAGGGGGGCCGAGAACCCCCGGGACAGGGAGGACCCGCCGCTCGACGAACACGACCTCTGGGGCGGCGACTTCCTCCAGCATCAGAGGGAGGATCCTACCCTGCAACATGCCTGGGAGGCGGCTGGCGAGCCCCGAGAAGGAGACACCACCCGGCAGCAAGGGCCTTGTTTTGAGGTATGCCGAGACCGGGTGTACCGGGTGACGCAGGGGGTGGAGGAATATGGGACCCTTAGACAGTTGCTAGTCCCGACGTGGTACCGCCGCCCACTGATGGGGCTGGCCCATGCGAACCCGTGGTCTGGGCACATGGGCTACGAAAAAACCATACGTAGGATTCTCCAACTGTTTTATTGGCCAGGCGTGTACCGGGAGGTCAAGGATTTCTGTCTATCCTGCCCCGAATGCCAACGGGTGAGCCCGAGGGGGTTCCCAAAGGCACCGCTGGTGCCCCTACCAGTTATAGGCGTCCCCTTTGAGCGGGTGGCCATGGATATAGTCGGCCCCCTAGAAAAGACAACCTGCGGGTGCCAATATATTTTGGTGGTCATGGACTATGCCACTCAGTACCCGGAGGCGATCCCTTTGAGAACGGCGACTGCCCAAGTATTAGCAGCCGAGTTGGTGAAGATCTTTGCCCGAGTGGGTATCCCTAAGG